AAGTTACAAATTAAAAGCCTATATCTTACGGAAAATCAAATATAATCTTGACATACCATATGGTGTACGTATTACGATCGTCTTGCTGCCTGTCCCGGCTTACATCCCATAATTTCAACTTATGAATATTAATAACCTACGCTAATTAGGAAATCAAATAGTTGTCGTCTACAATCATTCCTTACGCATGCGTTTCCAAAAGTACCGCTGAGTGAGAGAATGTGGATAATCGTGGGCGCAGTTGGTGTTCTGCCAACTATTTTTCTCAAACATCTTTCCAGGATTGCCTGGGTTAGCTTGCTAGGGGTCGTAGTTCTTATGGTACCAATTGGATTTGTTCTATGGCACGGGTTTTCGCATGCATCTTCATGGAGATTTGAAAATCTATTGTTTTGGGACAGCCAAGGGTTTTTTGTAGCTTTTGGGATCATAGTCTTTAGTTACACAGCTCACCCGGCTCTTCCTCGCCTAGAAGGATGTATGATATACAAGAAATCCTTCAGTAAGGTCCTTGGCTTTTCATTCTTATTTGTCACTCTTATTAAAGTTGTCTTCGCGTTGACATCTTTTTTGAAATTCGTCGGCTTAACTCAAGAAGTAGTTTTGAATAATTTTCCTGTAAACATTCTTTACCACGTTATCTGTGTGTTTCTTAGTCTTAATGTCCTCTGCTCGTATGCTTTTCCTGTCTCTGTCGTTGATCAAGTTATCCAAGAATCAATCGCGTCAGATTCATGCCTTCACAGATTACCCAGAATGCTTTCGTTCTCGTTGACTCGTTTATTCTTACTGTTCGTTACCTTGGTAACGGCTCTTGTAGTCCCACACTTCGCTCTTCTTCTAGCCTTCTTTGGGAGTATGATAGCGTCTTTGTTTTCATTTGTTTTTCCGTGTTTGTTTCACCTTAAGCTCAAGGGAGCTTCTTTGAGCTGGTGCATACGTTTTTGCAATGTTTCTATTATACTTCTGGGAATCTTTTCTGCTGTTTTAGGCACCTTTTTCTCAGGCAAAGCTCTCGTAGAAATTTACCAATGAATAGGTGGACACCAGTAATAAAATGCCCCCTTCAACCAAAGACATCCTCGATACAAGCTCATGCTAGGCTATAGAGTGACTCTATCTATACACAAATAACTTGTTTCAAGAGAATATGAACTAAGAGAAGGAATCCTACCTATATAGCCTTGTAACCATCATGTGCACAGTTTGATGCTATTTTTAGCTTGGAGATATTTTGAGTGAAGAACCCGATTGGTTGATTTCTTGAGGGTAGACGTCTTCCAGACTTTCAGTAAACAAAGCCTGTGTTTTTGTCATGGACGTAGCGAAATATGGCGCTTTTCGTGTCCTGAAACGAGGCATTAAAGGGAAGCATGATTATCGCGCGGGTATGGTAACGAGTTAAAAATAGCATCAAAGTGTGCACATGATGGGGCAAGGGGATTCTTCTCTTGCTTGTTTACCATACATGCATACACTACAGGCAGCTGTACATTTATTACTTAAAGTGTCTATTACCGCTAACGAAACGATATTTACAGTACTGATTGTATTTTAACTCTTAACTCGTCATATGACTAAAGCATTTGAGTTTATTTGTCAACATTTGTTATCTTTTGTTAGAAAAATGGAACTTTGGAAAATTGGAACTCTGGCGATTTAGGTCACTGGGAATTGAAAAACCAATGCGAAAACATTGTTATATCATTATTATAATTCATTCTAAATGAGATTTAAAGTTTAACTAGCGTTAATGGTAGTTTCTTGGGCGAGAGTTCAATAATGCTGTTTGACAATTTTATCCATTTTCGTTGCCAAAACCTTCTCAAACCTTTGATTTTTCTGAGAAGGCTCTGGGTACGAGAATTCGAAATGGGCTTCCTGTGTAATTTGACAATTTAAAAGTTTTTATCTCAGTTCTTAGTCATTAGTCACGAAAACAATGTTCAATTAATAAACCGAGACGTACAAGACTCGGCGTGAATAAATGTTATAAAAATTTCATAAATGAAATTTAGTTTTATGAAGAGGATACTTGATTTGGGTTACCTGTGGATTTTTTTTGGAGGGAGGGATGTGATGCTGATCGCTGATTGGCTGAAGSGGTTTGTGGCGCAGAAATCAAACTCTTGAAATCAAACATGGAAAACGCCATCAAACAATGTTGACTGCCTAAATTTTGCCTTAATTTTCCCAAAAATCTCTCGCGATTATCATGAGTTCAGCAGAAATCAAGCAAAAAAAGACTCCAAAGAACACTATGAAGCAATTTTCTACTCTTCCAAGCTGTTTTTTAACGCCAGAAAGCGACGAAAAGCCTCACAGTTTTGGAAGAGTCACCCCAACACAAGATCAGTCTTCGTCTGTATTTCTGAGTCCTCCTCCGTCTTTGGAAAGGAAATCCTTACCAAACTTTGGGATTTCTACTCATGAAGATCCACTAAAGCTTGAACTACATTTTGATGATTACCCAACAAGGATATCTTCTGATTTAAGGAGTTTGAGATCTCCTTTGCTACACGGAGGCAAGATCGGAAGGACAAGGATAGATTTAATTACAGAATTAGTACAACGCAACTGCTTCAAGATATGTCGAAGTATTTGTGAATATCTGAACGATCGAGAACTCTCCAGGTTAGTACTGATCCCTCAGTTTTATTCTATTGCAGCGATTGTGCCTTTTTTGATTTTCTTTTTTTCGTAGAAGCAAATTCGCGCCAAATATCTCAACAAAGCACGCGTTGTTTTCACAAAATTGAATTGCACATCAAATTCAAAATGATTATTCATCAACATTTATTTTTATAATAATTCTACAGGTTTGCTTCAGTGAGTAAGAGTTGGAGGAGTTTTGTTAAGGAAGAGCCTCAGATTCGCGATCGGTTGAGTTTTTATTTATTGCAGCGCAAAGAGTATTGCATTCTGAAAGGAAAGGTATGTTTCACTACATTTCTTGCACCAGCACCAAAGCAATAATAAAAATGACTCTTCTAGTCTTTTCTCTTGTATATTTTCCTCCAACGGAGAAAATCATATTTGTTTATTCCTTTGTGAGTCAATTTTTGGCTAATATGTAGCAAGATTGTTTCAAGAACAGTTTTAAAATTAAAAATTCTTATTGCCCTCCTAGTACAGCTCTATTTCTTGCTGGTGTCCAGAGGGAAGGAAAAAAGGAGGCACGATCCAATTTCATTGTTATTTATGCTATAAATTTCCTTGCAATAGTAATCAATTCAAATTGATTTGAGCTGCTGCTCCGGGGACTTATACATGGACTGTATAGCCACTGCCAAAGGCACTTTCTTATATATGCTTTTGACTTTGACCCCGTTGAATTGCACCACTGGTGTATTTTTGGTGGTGATTAGCCATGACAAGTTTTTTTTTTGTGTGGCTTAGTGGTAGTACACTCACTTCTGCAAAACTTAACATGCTAAATTCCAATTTCGATTTCGGAGTTACCCATGTCTTTTCTTAGATCATCCCAGGAGTTGTTTCCGGGTTCAGTCTGTGAGTTGGCTGTGCCCTGACTTAGATCAGTCCAGAGGTTGTTTCAGGGTTTGATCTGTGAGTTGGCTGTGCCCTGACTTAGATCAGCACAGAGGTTGTTTCAGGGTTTGGTCTGTGAGTTAGCCATGCCCTGACTTAGATCAGCCCAGAGGTTGTTTCAGGGTTTGATCTGTGAGTTATCCATGCCCTGACTTAGATCAGTCCAGAGGTTATTTCAGGGTTCAATCTGTGAGTTAGCCATGCCCTGATTTAGATCAGCCCAGAGGTTGTTAGTTCAGGGTTTGATAGGCATATTCTTATTTAGATCAGTCAAGAAAAAGTCAAGATATATTTATACATTAGAAAACAAGGCTTTCAAAAATCCTCATTTTCCATAATTATGTTTTTGTAGGAAAATCTTGGTTCACCTACAAGTGTAAAACCAGACTTGTCTTCACAGCGGATCAAAAGGACACCCTTGGTAAATATTGATGCGAACAAGGTCACTATAAGTGTAGCGAAAACAAGCAGGGAAACTCAATTACCGATTTTACAGCAACAAATATCTACACCTGTAACTAGTCCCTCTGAAAACTTTCGTCCTTGTCCAAAATGCTGTTCACCGTCTAACTATGCTAGAGTACTTGGTAGTCATTGTTGCTGTCAAAGATGTGGACTTGAATTTTGTTCGGTGTGTCTGCAAGATACCAAGACCCATAAAGAAAAAGTTTGTAGAGGATTAGATAACCCATGTGAGAGAATAGAAACAAGAAGTAAGACTAGAAGGAAAGGAACAGAAAATTTGGTAGGGAGTAGAAAGAGTAAAGAACGCATGCGGCGGTTATAACATTTAGAAAAATGTCGACTACTTATGACCTTTTTAAGGTTCAAGACTTGAGATGCACATACAGTATGGGCAGGCCCTACATCACGGAATGAAAGCAATGCATCTTCAAGTGTGAATATTCCCTAATGTAAATATCTTATTTATATAACTGTGTATCATATGTATGATTGTGTAAATACTTTATTTAGATAGGTATACTTTTATCAAAATTATCAATATATGTAGTGTCCTATGCAAGTTCAAGTGAGGTAAAAGCCACAACTAATTCTCCTTCTAAATAAGTTTGATTTGTACTTGTCCTAGCTTTTGGACAGTTATTTCAACGTCAGGAATTGAGATTTATATCTTCAAGGTCATTAGTGAAATTCCATTTACATAGAGAAGACGAAGTTTTTACCTCACATTTACCTGTGAACTTGTTACTTAATTGTCAAATGTTTAACCCTTTTTTAGTTACATTAATTTAAATTTTTTAGTTAGTAAATTTTTAAAATATTACTTAATGGTCTTAGATTGTACAAGAGGTATTTTTATGACTTAAAACACAAACCATAGTTCACTAATTGTAAGTAGTGGAACATCTGTCACAACAATTAAAAACTTATATATCATGAGGCTATCATTTGTTATTATTGGAAGTTAATCTTAAAATTAAATCTTATCTTATTTGTGTAAGAGTAGGGGATTGTCTCCCCATTCAACAGCGTATCCCAATTTGGAGGCACAACACTAACGTACTAACAAATCACTCATGATTGTAAGCTGCACGGCTGCTTATAGTGCCTTAACATGTAGCCCGTAAAGTCCTCCACTGCAATGTAAAGCGCATTGAGACATGTGATAATGTGCTATATAAGAACCCCATTATTATTATTATTATTATTATTATTGGAAGAACTTGGTAGTTTAGGATTGGGTATAAATTTTTCCCTTTTCAGACCATGTGTCAATATTCTCCTTAGAAAAAAATTATTTGTTTTAGTTAGATCCATAATCACAAGCTAAAGTCTTCTGATGATCATATGCAACTGTTAACTTAGCGTCGGTCTCACACTCCGGTGGTGCCTGGTTCGAGTCCTGCTGTGGCCACAGAGCTGAGACTGTATTTGTCCTGATTCCTGATTAGTTCAAATTCAGTTTCTCAACCATGCTTGTTAATAGCCAACTGGTTTGCCTCCTTGCCAGTTGGGATTCTTAACGCACTTTATGTTTCTTTGATCATTCATTTCAGTTTCATTAATTAATTGTAGGAGGGCCATAATGGAAACTACTGGGTTACCAGTAATGTATGTCACCCTCGTTAAATAAAGTCAATTTATTTTCACTTATTTATTTAAACAAAGAAATCATACTCTAGGAAATGACAGATGGTCTGAAATGGGAAAACATTACACCAAGCTAAACTGTATACAACTATCAAACACCTTGGGATTATAAATTGTTAGACTCTTAACATTTTTCCTCTTTTCTCTTCCTTACTCAGCTGAGTCAGGTTTTTTTCCATGTTTAGGTACAGAGGGAGTGGAGGAGAGCTTGAAGCATCATGCTGCTATTTGCATAATCAAATTAGGGAAAAAACTTGATTCAACAGAGTTAGGAATTAAAAGAGGAATTGCTAACATTCTATGTAATTTTTCAAAATTCAGATGTTTTTACAGTCCGAACTGATCCAGAATATCCGAAAGGAAACCCGGAAGTTTTTGGTTAAAAATCAAGTTTGTTTGCTGCAAAATAAGCCAACATCATTCTCAACTTCGGCAGGGAGCTCAGAAGGTCAAAATGAATTTTTTTTGAAGTTCTGAAGTTGGTTGCTAGCTTGGGAATTCCCAAACATAAGTTGAAACCTGAAGGTGTAAATTAATTAATGTGGAACCAAATGTAATGTTTTTGTGAGCTAAACAACTAATTCTCAACATGTTGTGTATTATATTCTTTTGTTTTGGCTAGACTCTAAACAACCCTAAGGATTTGATAGCTTGTTCATCATCCATACCATGTTTTCATTGCTACATACTGATTGAGAAAACAGTTCTAAAGTTTTCTAAATAAATGTGATGGGAAGCACAGGTGGCATAGCGGTGAGAGCGCTTGCCTCTCACCAATGAGCAGCAGAGCTCAGTGTCGTATGTGAGTAGAGTTGTTTGTTGGTTCTCTCCTGTGTAGTATGTGAGTAGAGTTGTTTGTTGGTTCTCTCCTGTGTAGTATGTGAGTAGAGTTGCTTGTTGGTTCTCTCCTG